AGTACTCCTCTGTCTTTCAAGTTATGACAAAAATATCCGCCTGGTTGATGATTGGGGATTGGGTGACTGGATGACTGGATAGGGACTGGAAAATGACTGGATTGAAATCTGTACACCGATTGGTGGAAGTTGCGGCCCCCTCGCAAAATTAGCATATTACCGTCTCGCAAAAAAATCGACGATAAGTCCTCAAAATGATGAAGCCCACTCCGGTACCTTTTAAAAAGTGCGTAACAAGTGACAACGGCGGCGGCTACTGCTACTCGGTGGCTGTACTGCAGCCAGATGACATAAAAAAAAGTGGAGCAGGGCGATGATGACATTGGACGGGAGGAGGAGGAGGAGGAGGAGGAGGAGAGGGGCGTTGGTCGCGGATGGCAGCATCTCGCAGTGCAGAGGCCTGTTGCGCATCACTCCCTCATCTCAGCTGCCATAGAGCTGCCATAGAGATGGGGCGTACCTCCCTTTTCTCACACTGTGATTGCACACTGGTAAATAAAACAAAAAACAGTTGTAAGGAATGTAATAAAGCATTTCACCCTGAGCGCTTTTTCGTAAGGTTTGACTGAACACATTTTTTATTTATTTTTTTGTTTTTTCGCAGTGTAACATGGGCGAGCCTTTTGCACGGGTAAAAGCCTCCTCTAAAACGTGTCGGGCTTGTAACGTTTCCCTCCGGGTGGACGCCCCAAAACGATAGACGATAGACGTGCATGTCAGTGTGTGCCACGCTGTGTGTGTGTGTGTGTGTGTGTGTGTGTGTGTGTGAGACAACGTGCTTGTTACGGTTCTTCGTCGCGCGTGTCGTGAGACAAGCTTTCTTTCATAAGCTTTTCCATCCATTATTGCATATGTTTCTGGAAGTGAGTGAAGTTAAAACATCACACGTGCACACACACACACACAAAAACACACGCATTTTTCCTTCCCCTATTTTGTTGTGGAGCAGCAGTTTCTCCGCTGTTATCCCCGCTGTCCAAACGCGCTGCCGACGACGACGCTTGACCTTTTGCCACCCCACACCCCAACACCCCTGACGACGACGAGACGAGAGCTTGTCGTCCCCATCCCCGGAGAGGGGGAGAGGGGTTGTCGAGCTGGTGGTAAATAGTGTTTATCGTCACTGCTGTGCGGAGTCGAGAGAGCAGGAGTGTGGTGGTGGGGTTGGGGGGGGGGGGTTGCACGCGTGGCCTGGGGGTGCTGTGTGCACCGGACCGCACCACGGCAAGCGGCCAGGCGGCACCGGCTCCACCACCACCACCAATGTCACCACCACCTCCTCCTGGTCCATCATTACCTGCAGCAGAGATAGGAGCCGAGCTCGGGCTCGGAAGGGCTGATGGGTCGAGCACCACATCATAAACGAATAGAAGCTGCAGAGAGGGGCGGCGGCGTTATATTGCCCTCACGACCAAAGTGTTGGGGCCGCACCGACACCTTCACTCTGTTATCCGTGTGACGTCCTTTTGGTTGACATGTTTAAACCGTCACATTTGTACATTAATTGCCTATGCGATAAATCGTTGTAGGTTTTACGGAAAAATCTTCCTTGGAGCGTGTCGTATAAATACAACTCAACACCCTAAAAGTGACTTGGTATTCGAGGCAAATGTGGTAATTTCCAAGCACTTTTTGCTGGAAAATTACCACTTTTGCTTGGAAACCAAGCAGTCACTTTTAGCGTGCAATATTGTAAAATTACAAGCACTGGCTATTTACTGCGAATCGAATATGAAGAGCAAGAATGGGAGGTTGTGCGTGTACGACACATTTTTGTGGTAAATCACAAAATAAATCGCACACATGTACGAACACATATTTTGCACAGTAAATGGGACAGTTTTCACAGGCAAAAAATTTGTGGTCGTCACAATGAGTTGAAGAACAGTGGGGCGCGCGTCATATCAGCGCATATCAACTTCGACGGGGCACAGGGGTTGATAGCTATACAAGGGCTAGGGGCTGCTGCCGAGTTCGGGGGAAATTGAACTCGCGTCCCCTCCAGACTGCGCGGTATGGTGCTGAAGTAGCGCTGCACGAACGAGGAAACGCAATTCAT